GCCAGCACTGAACTGCCCCCCCCCCTTTCTTCACTATAGCCAACCATCTTTTGAGAGTATCACAGTTCTCCAAGTCCTGAGGCTTTCAGGAGCCTTAGAACACCAACCGGGTTACCTTTCCTTCACTTTCTGGTGGGCGAGCTTCTCTGTGGCTTTCCTCAAATGACATTTCTTCTCCTTGGTCATTTCTGTCTGAAATCTCAGTCCCATCTCACCCTCCTGTCCTTCCTATCCTCATCCGTGTCTCTCATACAGATCCTGCCACTCTCTCGGTCTGTGGGTATGTGAGGGTGGTGACCATTTCCCAGTTGGTTCATGGTTGTCTCTCCAGAGTGCTGCACACTCCGAGAGTCTCTGGATGGGTGGCTGGTGGCCCAGGGCAGGGTGGCTGGTTTCCCTCTTGCCTACCCAGGAAGAAATCATCGTTCAGTGAGACGTTATCCACTCCTGACTCGTTTTACCTTCTCTTTCCTTCTCTTTTTAGCTTTTGAATTTCTTTGAAAGTTATTTTTGGTATTATCTTAGTGGGTTAGAAACAAGCTAGAATGCAAAGGATTATGAGCTTTAGAATTATTAATTTTTATTTTCAGGAAATATGAGAGTTGGGAGACGACGCAGTTGTTAAGAGCATTTCAGTTCCCAGTGTGAAATGGTGGCCCACAACCATGTGGAACTCCAGTTCCAAAGGATCTGATGCCCTCTTCTGACTTATGTGGGCACACAGACATGCATGATGTCAAAATATTCATACACATAAAATAAAAACAAATAATTTAACAAGTCAAAGAGGAAAGTAGAATTTTTTTTTTCATGGAACAGTTATTTTGTGGAGCCCAGATGGGTGTGAGTCCACTATGTAGCTGAGAGTACCTTGAACTGCAGGTCCTTCTGTCTTCCTGCCAGAGTGCTAGGATCACAGGTGTGAACGCCACACCTGGCGCCAGCCTATCATGTGCCATGTCTATCAATCATCCTTCTGATTGATACTTGCCGCCTGAAACACACGAGGGCACACATACATACACTTGATCTTAACCCAATGACCATGAAACCATGCACCTTTCGTGTCTCTCCTGTTGTGCCTCCCATATGAAGGAAACCTTGGCACAGGTCTTCATAAATACACAGGAAGAAATAATTTATTTGGAGCTTAATGTCCTCGGGGGTCTCCAGTCCTATCTGCCACATGTAAAGGAGGATATTTTATAACTGTGGTAAGTAGGCTTGTGATTCTATTTTGACAAGAATTAGTCACCGATGAGGGAGGAACACTCAGGACTACTAGAGAATCTCCAGGGATAAATGTCTTTCTAAATGCAGTCCATCCATCCTCAGCCGATTGCATGGTGCCTTTCCGCTTGGGTAAGGGTAAGCCTCCCCTCCTCAGCCGGCTAACTGAAACAATAGTCTCTCTTGGCAACGCCCTTTCCAGTATACCCAGAAATGATGTCTCGTCAGCTGCCTTGGCATTCTCTCAATGCCAGGGTCAAGTTAGCACTCACATTGGCGTTCATAGCGAAATCCTGATACAGCTTCAGAGTGTAATCTCAGAGAGTACTAAGGCTTTGTTCTCAGTGCTGATATACTTACATACTGATAGGATTCTTTAATGAATTCTCTCTCTCTCTCTCTCTTTCTCTCTTTGTCTGTAGAAACATACAGTCCATAAAATATAACTATCATAGACATTTTGAAAGAAAAAAATTAACATATTTCTCTGATATACTTCCTGCCTTATATTTTAGGTGATAAACTTTTGTAACAAAATATACATAATCACAGACTGTTGTTCTTGTATTCCTCTGTTTTATTAGCATATATTAACCACACATAGTAGTGGGCCACTGTGACATTTCCGTATGTGCACACACTGTACTTTGGCTGTTCTACACACACACACACACACACACACACACACACACACACACACACACTGCCCTTTTGCTCCATTCTCTGCTATTGGCTTCCTCTTCCAAATTAGTCTTTCTTTTACTTTCATATTTTTGTTTTTAATTCTTTTAAATTACCCAATGAGTTTCCTTAAAATTGTTTACAGGAGCATGGGCACCTTACCAGTGGCTACACCTAGGAGAAAATGATTGCCTTCCCTTCAACTATGGGATCCCCAGGGGTGAGGCTCGGGTGGGTCACAGAGTAGTGGCATATTGGCTTCTTTTGGTCATGCTGGGCATGTACATCGGAAGTACACACGCTGCACCACGGAGCCATATCCCCAGCCACGGGCTATATCCCCAACCACGGAGCCATATCCCCAGCCACGGGCTATATCCCCAACCACGGAGCCATATCCCTAGCCACGGGCTATATCCCCAGCCACGGAGCCATATCCCCAGCCACGGGCTATATCCCCAACCACGGAGCCATATCCCCAGCCATGGGCTATATCCCCAGCCACGGGCCATATCCCCAGCCCCCACATAAAACCGTTTTATGTATGAGATTAACCTCTTACATACTGGTGACATGAGTCTAAATATATAAAATAAGGATTAACTGGAATCCAGAAATTTTTTTTTCTCGGGTAGAAAACTCCTATGTAAATGATTCAGTTCAAATAAACTCAACATTAAGACATTCCTTTCTGTTGCTTAGCAATCCCATGCATCTTTATTAAATCCTTCTGACTGGCTGGAGGCTTTTTGTTGTCCTTAAACAGTAGAGTGAGCCGTGGACTTCATTCATTTGAGTGCTTATCCTTTTATAACTTCTTGCTTCTCACTGCGGCTGCGCAATCTTCTGAAACTATCTCTTACCTTCTAAGGGACTGGAACCTATGCTGGACCTTGCAGCCAGAGTTAACAACCCTTTGAGGTCACTTAAGGCATAAGACTGCTGTCCTACTGTGTGCTCAGCCTGTTTAACCTGCTTCGAGGAGAACAGTGTAACAGCCAACCTTACTTGCCCTGGATTTCTTACACCCTAAGCTAGTGCCTAGCTGTCATCTTAAATCTTGTACTCTTCTATGCCCCTGACCCATGCGTGTCCTGATAATCATTTGCTGGAAACAGCAAATAGGCATAAGCCAGTCTTATAAATGAATGTCCACTGTGAACACTGAACACGACATATGGCTGTTGCTTGGTAAACAAAGATGTCTGTAACGCTGTCTGTTATTTTGGGCAATTGGGGTCAGTTGGAGTCAGGAACTTAATCCCTTGTAAAACTCTGTTAAAGACTTCTGTAGAGTCTCTCCCTCGTCCCTTCCTCATGTGACGCTTTCTGATCCGTTCAATAAGTACAGAGGGGAGCCCTTTGTTAAGAACACTCACAATCACACACAGATACAGCAGAACACAAACAAACATAGAGTCACAAGACAGCCCTCAGGCGGGCAGATTCACTCAGACAACAGGCAGACCTGTGATGGAAGACACAGGGAGAGGAAAGAAGAAAATTCAAATCTGGGTTCACCGGTGGACGGATGACAGCAATGGGGAGTTCTTTGATTCTTCAGTGTGACACCGATACATTATTGGAGACTGAGTTTGTTAATGTGTTCAATAATGTATACAGTTGTCAAGATCCAGACAACTTAACAAATCCTCCACATCCCTAAGATTTATTATTTTCATTTAATTGACATGTGTCTGTGTGTAGGCATGCGTGTGTGACTGCAGGTGCTCACCGAGGCCAGAGACATCCCCTGGAGGGAGCGTCACAGAAGGCTGATCATATGATCATCTTAATGTTCACTCTGGTCTCTGTGGACCCCTGTGGTCATATGCACAGACACATGATTAAAACAAAAGAAATCTGCATTTTAAAAAGAGTGAATGTACAAGATACCCATGCCTCCATCAGTCCTCCTTGAACAGGGAGTTGTAAACTGAGGGGAAGTGACTTAGCAGTGTGTACACCTAAGTAATGATGGGGAAAAGGGGATAAACTCACTTTCTAGAGCAGTGGTTCCCAGGCAGCCTACCCACTCCCATCGCCTCTAAACAATTTCAGAGCATAGAGAGAACTGGAAAATCCCCTGTCTCCACCTTAAGGTAGCACTTAATATTATGTGTATTTGTTTGGTTTTCAAATGAAAAAAGCAAAGCCTAGAGGTCTCGAGTCCTCCGGCTGGCTTCCAGATCAAGCTTCCTGGCCTCATAGGCCAGGCCACCTCACTGTGTGAGGATACTATTCATAAACACTTGTGTTCCCCGCCTCCTCTTTTTTGAGATAAGGTATCACTTTGTACTCCATAACCCACACACTAGCCTAGAGCCAGAGTCTGTCTGTCTTCTGTCAGTCTGTCTGTCTGTCTGTCTGTCTCCAGCTTCAGCTTTTCCAGTGGTAGATTACAGGCATGAGCTGTAATCTCATGGAAAATAATCTTTCTTTTCCTTCCTGGCCAACCTACTTGCCTCCTTGTTTCTTTCTGTCTCTCTGTCTCTGTCTCTCCTTGTTTCTCTCTCTGTTTCTCTCTGTCTCTCTCCCTATCTCTCTCCATCTGTCTCTCTGTCTCTCTCTCTCTCTTTCTCTCTCTGTCTCTCTCTGTCTCTCCCTCTCTCTGTCTCTCTCTGTCTCTCTCTGTCTCTCTCTCTCTGTCTCTCTCTCTCTCTCTCTCTCTCTCTCTCTCTCTCTCTCTCTCGCACTGGTACTCAGGGCCTCACACATAGTAGTTCTACCACACTCCGCTGTATCCCCAACCTAGTCAACACTGGTTAAACAAACGAGCAAACTAATAAAAAGCATCATAATAACATTCTGAACTTGAATTTAAACAGGTCCTTCCTTTGTTGAACTTTAATTTCTTAATCTAAGAATCGTCATTGATAGAGCCATTCTGTTTAGAGTGGCTGGGAAGTCCCTTGCATGGGAGTAGTTGAATCCTACGTTGTGATAAGGGGAAGGGGAAGGCTTACCTTCCTGTAAAAAAAAAATGGAACAAAAGCAAAATGAACTGTAAGTCTAAGCTGCTGATCACATGGCGTCCTCTAATGTTTTATATTTAAGCTGTGTTTTCATTATTATTATTATTACTACAGGAAAAGCTGTTATCCAGATCTCTTCAGAGGGGTGAAGATCTGCAGTTTGACCAGGTACTGTAATTTGGGGGAACAGTCTTTCTTTTAAGAACTATGTCTGTTTTTGAAGAACTAGAATAATCTATTTCACACGTGTCCACCATTGAGAAAGTCCTGTGTGGTAGATTCTTCCTCATGGAACAATGAGCGCACTTAATTTTTGCTTAGTCAGCACTTTAAGACTCTTTCCCACCCCCCCCGTTTTTTTTTTTTTTTTTTTGCTTTTCATTGCTAATGTTTTTAATATGCTTTGATAAGTTTTCCTAGGAAGTTAACTAAATCCCTTAATCTCATTCTTTGTATCGTTTTATTTCTACTATTCATTCATTCATTCATTCATTCATTCGAGACACTGTGCAGGGCAGATAGTCCTCGAAGTCTCAGCCATCCAACTGTCTCTGCTTTCCAGACACTGGGATTACAGATGTGCACCACCATTCCCAGCACCAGAATCTAAAACTTTTACATTATGTTACCTTACTTTTTAACAATTTAACATTACTTTTAACTTCTAGCACATTTTTCACCTGTTGAAGTTCTTGGAAACCCGTATATAGAATTTCAACATCTAAAGTCTGTTCTTTCTGTTAATTTTTTCCCTTTGCTGAGGTTAAATGTTGGGTCACACACCCTTGTATCATAACCGTCCCGTTGCATAAAGATTATTTAAAACAGCAGTCTGGTCTCACTAATATTTATGGGCCTGTTTATTCAAAATACTGTCTCTATAGTATTGTGAGCATGGCTGCCTTCCAGAATACCGTGTCTCTCTATAGTATGGTGAGCACGGCTGCCTTCCAGAATATCGTGTCTCTCTATAGTATGGTGGGCACAGCTGCCTTCCAGAATACCGTGTCTCTCTATAGTATGGTGAGCACGGCTGCCTTCCAGAATACCGTGTCTCTCTGTAGTATGGTGAGCACGGCTGCCTTCCAGAATACCGTGTCTAGGAAAAGGAAGAGAATGCTCATATTAGATGAGCCGGCCAGATAAAAGCAGGCAGAGTGAGACTGGCTCATCAGAAGCTCGTGCTGCTGGATCTGGCTAGTTTTTCTAAAACTTCATCTCCAAGAGAGAGAGAGAGTTCTGCAGTAGAGCACCAGCGTTTACAACCCACTGTCCAGGAGCCAGCGATCTGTGTGGGCTGAGTGGGTAGACACTGGTCTACAAAGAAATGACAGGCAGGAGGGTAACTCCCGGTTACTGAGTTCTTTTCAAGGGCTTCTCCACTACAGAGGTAATGAGACCAATAGCATCTGGCTTCCTCGGTGAGTGTACCATCAGGGATTGAACTCTGACTCAATGTCATTCTCAGAAAGTTTTCCTTTTTTTAAAAAAAAATATAAGTGGTCATTTAAAACTAGAAGTGGGTGCTAGGTAGTTTGCTCTCAGAAAAATACATTGTGTTGTATGAATTGTTTTATATGTTTAGCAGAGCAGACAATGTTTTATTCTTCTTTCCTAGATACTAAATGAAGTTTTGTTTGAGGCACACTGTTCATTTTCCTAAAATGTAATTTTTAAATACATTGAACAAATACAACTAAGATCTTGTTTTGAATTTCCAACGTTACCAGGCATATCCAATTAGAATAATCAATAATAAATTGTGGTCAAAGAAATTAGAAATCACAAGGGAACCTCCAAAGCCTGAATGATGAAACTGAGCCCTGGAATTAATTTTCTCTTTTCTTGGGTAAACTTAATTTGGAAGTTTATAAAGAGCATGAAGCACCATGGAATTGACTTGATTTCTAGAGATATCAATTTATCTTCATTAAAAGACACTTCCTGTGGTCACAGAACTGAATAAAGCCCTTGACAATTCTGCAGCCTGCGTGTTTTAGATAAATCAGCAAAGTTCCATGGAGCACTGACTGTATGCTGTTTTAATTTTAGAGGCAGTGGGTTGAATCAGACATAGAAATGACCTGGAAGAGAGGACACTTTCTTGGAATCCTTGATGATATGTAACCATGGGGCTACTCATTAAAACTAGTCTAGGAAAGTTGGGTTTATTCAAAAAAAGGAATCATATTGGTATTTATCTTGAACTTGGTATTAGCTTTCTATTGCTGTGACAAAATACCTGAGGTAATTAACTCGATGGAAGAAAGGTTTGTTTTGGCTCAAGGTGCCAGAGGTTAGTTTATTCGTCCTGCCTGTGGAGGCGCAGTACATGCTGGTAGTAGCCTGCTATGGCTAATAAGTAAAGAGAGAAATGAGAGGGAGCTAGATCCCCAACATGCACTTCAAGGGACCGTCCCCAGGAGACCCACTTTCTGCCAGGAGGCTCCACCTCTCAAAAATACAGGCACCACAGCACCTGCTGGACACACGAGCCTTCAGGGCATTGCAGATGCAAACCGATGCGTTCAGACAGCATCAGGGATGTGCCACATCTTGAGAGTCCTCCACCCTTCATTCAGTGTGTCACTAGAAGTTTGTTTTCCATATGGCTCCACCATGTGGCTAGTAGAGTAACTACAGTGCCCCTGTGTCACAGAGGAACATGGCAGGAAGGAGCCTTCCCCTCCATCTTCAGATGGTGTAGTCTGCTTTCTCTTTCCGAACTCTCCTCTGTTAGAAACTTGGTAACGTTCTGGAGTCTTGTCCGTAGAAGCACCGGCAAGCTGGCGGAGCAGGTATAGAGATGATTTGAAGAAAGGTGTCGGTAGGATGCTTATGAAACAAACAAACAAACAAACAGACAGACAGACAGAGGTTCGCCCACGTAGCTTACTGCTCTTCAGAGATAGCCCCAGATATAATGGGGTGTAGCAGACAGACCTGATGTTACATACAACAAGTGGTACGTGTGTGCCGGAAGATCACGAGCTACTAAACTAAAGTTTGGGATGATGTCTCACTGCGACTGAAGCCCAAGCTGATTTTATCTCATTACATGGCTAGCCTTGGCTCATTCTTTAGCTCTCAGATGTGTTTCTGTTGTTCTGGTTTTTTTTTTTTTTTCATTTACATTACCATCCCTCTGCATTTCCATGGGGCGGCTCGTGGCGTGGGAGGCTGCTGCCTGCCGCCGTTTCTGCTATCACACTCGGCTGTCTTGCCTTTCTTTCAGTTGGTAAGCTCCATGAGCTCCGTAGCAGAGCACTGTCTCCCGTCCTTACTCCGAACCTTGTTTGACTGGTACCGACGCCAGAACGGAACCGACGATGAATCCTACGGCTACAGGCCGAGGTCGAGCACAAAGTCTAAGGGGTGAGTGGCTCATCTAACCGTCTTTCCTGGACGGGAGGCACTTGCGGTCGATGGCGTGACTGACGGTGTTATCAAGCCGAGATTGTGTCACTTGGCTACCAAGCACGGATTACTTTATTTAGAGACAAGGTAGATAGAGTTTATGGCCATGTGTGGTAGTAAGAATGAAGGAGTTCGTGCTTAAACTTTAGTAATCTACTTTATCAGTTGAGAGTATCTGTCGTAGGCCATTTGCTTGAGGCTTAGAGGCTTAGTGCTATACTTCTGCATCGTATGTAAAGTTCCACCTTAGATGTGTGAGAAAGTTACCTCTGGTGTGTTTTTATCTAGAAACGTTAGTTCTTTTGTTTAGTTCGTAGCATTTTTTTTTTAAGCTACCAATGAATTATGAAGCCACACTAGGTTTTCTAGAGGAAAACGGAAGTACTTTTCTTTCTCTTGCCGATTCTTCTACGTTACACTTATTTCTAATAGATGGAACAGAAAAGTGTATGTTGTATGTATAAATAGCTAACGTCGAAAAACAACAGAACATGCCATGCATGCAGTGGGGTACTGTAACGACCCGTTCTGCTGCTCCGGTCCGCGGGTCAGGGCCTAGCAAGAGAGAGAGTGGGGACGGAGATGCGAAGAATGGAGACAAGACAGAGTCTGATCAAGTCTCTTCTCAAGTCTCTCCTTAAGTCTCGCCTCAAGTCTCTCCTCAAGTCTCGCCTTTATTGAAAGGAAATCATGGGTATATAAGAAAAGCAAGATAATTATCAGAGTGTGCTCAGCTGTTGTAGGCTGTTGACAACAAGTCTCTTGTCAGGGTATATGTCTCAAGATGGCTGCAAAGATGATACCCGCTTTCTGCTCAGAGTCGGCTCCCAACAGGGTACACTAAAGCAGGGTTCCTATCCCAGTTGGTGCTAAGTGGGTATACCCCTACTCCCCCTCCTCACTCCCTCCCTCCCACTCACACACTCACACTCACTTGTGCTATGGAGGAACACAGTAAATCATACAAACCAACCACTATACGGCAGTCATTTTGGAACTCAGGAGTCTCCACTCAGTTCTCATTTTGGATTCTTGTTTCAGAGATGAGCAGCACCGTGAGAGAGATTACCTCCTGGAGCGGCGAGATTTAGCTGTAGACTTCATTTTCTGTTTAGTTTTGGTAGAAGTTCTAAAGCAGGTAAGTGCCTCTGTATCTCCAAGCCTGAATCCCCACTGCCTCCCGACCCTTCCTGTTTCTGACATCACTGAGGACATTACCTGAGATTCTGGCCCATGAGGTGACCAGATCATTTAATTTAATCACACGTCTTTCCATTTCCCTGCACTTGCCTGCTCTAAACTTGTCTGTCCCTAGTTAAGTGAAGGTAAATCTTTTTTTACCTTCACCTGCCCTCCGAGATGCAGAGTCACGTTAGGAAGAGTGAGCTGATGGAATTGTGTTAACTAGGGACTTGGCGCAGTCTGCCTGCTGCTTGGCTACTTTAACTCTCTTCCATGAGGTGGAGGGAAAGATTAAACAGCACCGGAAGTGTCATTTGTTGAAAATGAATGAAGGTGTGCATGCATACACATACTTGTATGAATTTGGAGGCTGTTTGTTTTAAGTTTGAAGTCTTGAAGACATACGTTATTAAAGGGTCATCTGTGTATTTCTAGCTATGGACTGTGGTTAGAGAAGAAAACTAGAAAATTTAAAGATGAACCCACACGTTTTCCTTATGATGCGTTTGGATAGGAGTTTCATTTTTGTTACTTAGAATGGGATGTAAACGAATAGCAAATGCCAAATCTAAAAGTAATTTGCAGTCTAGTTTGATTTAGTTAATATAATACATTCGTGGCTTATGGTGTTGATTTTTACAGTGTATGTGAACCGACAGTTATTTGCAAAATAAAAAGCATAACAAATACGTAAAGGAGATTAATGAATTACTCAAAAGTCAAAGGCCCCTTAGTATACACATTTTGTAAAGGTTTTTTTTTTTTTTTGTGGTGGTGGTAGGGTTTTTTTTTTTTTTTTTTTTTTTTTTTTTTTTTAGTAGATCTGGGAATCAGATTTCTTGTGTGACTTGTGCTAACAGGGCAGGCAGATTTGGTTTCTCTGATGTTTTGATTTTTTTTTTTTTTTGAGTGTGGCCAGGATGCCAAGATGCTAAAACCAAAGTTGCTAGGGCAGGAGAGCTGAGAAGAGAAAGGGCCCTGGCCACTGGTGACCTTGACAGTACCCGGTGGCTGACTGCTCCTGTCTCTAATGTGCTGACACTCGTGTGCTGACTTCTGTGGTCCTGTGATGTGTGGGCACCAATCTGACTCTCCATGGTGCGCCCTTGGCAGGACCCTGAGCTCACGAGTGACAAGGCCATGGCCATGCACTCCTTTCTTACTGAAGCGATACTGGGTCCCTTTCTTCCAGACCGAGAAATTGCTGCCTCCTCACCGGACACATCTCTGTGATTCTAGCTCACTATAAAGAAAGTTTTTCTCCTTTGCATCTCATGCAACTCTCTAGTTGGCCCGTCTTGTCGTTTGTTGTTGTTTTGGCTTCCCAGCCCACATGTCACCTGTACTTGGACTGGCTTCAGAGGTTTAACCCATAGCCAACCTGTGTGTGTGTGGGGGGGGAGGGTATCGTCCCCTACCAGCATCCTGCAGTCTCGCTCCCTTTCTTCAGAGTTGCAAGCCTCTGCCTCAGCTTCTCTAATTCACATAGCCCTCTGAACACAGGACAGCATCAGTACCATGACGTATAGGCCTTCTAGAAGTTTGTCTAGTCTTGTTTTTCTCAAGATCTCTGTACAAGCCCTTGCTAACTCGTAGCTCAGGGGACTCGGATGTGAGACGAGGCACTGCCTCTGATAAGGATCCGGGTTCTGCTGCCACATTGTTCCTCCCAGCAGCTCCCTTCCCTCCTCCTTTACTGTCACCTCATTCCAGAGTTCACATGTACCCAGTCAAACAGCAGCCAGTCACCGAGGACACGTATAAGCTTCTTCCAAAACTCTTTGTGGGGACTCTTCTGCACAAAAAAAAAGGCAAAGTTGTTTTTGTTTCTTAAATTAGTTTCTCTAAACCTATAGAAAATAAAATTAAAAAAAAAATCGATAGCGGTTTCTAAAGTACGGTGACAAACTAACCCAATTTTCTTATGTCAAAATGACATAGAGCTTCATAGGTCTCCAGAGTAATTGACTTACAATGTCTTCATTTGCTAGGACCTTTGCTTCTATCATGCAGATAGGTCCTCATCAGGCTGTGACTCTGTCATGCTGTAGCAGGTGGCTGTACCTAGGGCACTAGAGTATCCGTACACCAAGCTCCTTGTAGAAGAGGGATAACAAATACGTAAACTCATATGACTTAGTCCCTGCCTTTATAGTATAAGTGATGTCTCCCTGGGTAATGGTTATGCATTTGCTACTACTTCCTCATGCGTGAAGGATTTTGTAATCTCTGAGCCAGCTGATCATTGTCATTGTTGGGCGGTGGCCAAAGCACATAGTAATGTCCCAGCTGTCCGTCTTGTTTGCTGGGGAACTCAGGCTGGGTTGCTCTCCTAGCCTTTTGTCCTGTGTTTAAAAGGGTAGGCATAATATACTTTTGTTGCATCACGAGAACTGAAGTCAGTAGCACTTGGTTAACGGGAGATTCCCAGGCAGTGCTCTCCTCCGTCTTCATGTTACAGATAAAGAAAGGCCCTCGGCTGTAGCGCCTCAGTGACAGCTACCCAGTAGTTCCTTTGTTTTTAAATTTGCAAGTTCTTCTTTTAATAAGAAGAAGTTATTATTTTTTTATCATATGAAAGTAAGTAAAAATGGCCAGTCTCTTTTCAAATTAAAGTTTTCCTTGTAGCAAGTTAGTATAAAAATTGACTTAATTTAAAAATGAAACCAAATAGCATGAATTCACCAATGGAACAAAACTGACTCAAGATTATAAAAATATATTAACAAAAAAGCAGATACAGGGACTGGGTAGACTGCTCAGGGCAACGTGCCTGCTGTGTAGCCATGAGGAGCTGAGTTCAAATCCCTAGGATCCATTGAAAAGCTGAGCATGGGGGCAGGCATGCCTAACCCCAGCACTGCAGTGTGCATCTGAGACAGGAGAAGCCGTGGAGCTCAGCAGCCTGTCAGTCTAGTAGAACTGATGCCTCCAAGTTGTTTGAGGGACCTGTCTCCACAAGGGTGCTGGAGAAGGGGCTGAGGAAGCGATCCCACATGAGCGGGTGTACCCCGTGCCCCCACATACACCAACACACACACCACACAATAATAATCATGATAATTAAAAATAAAGTAGATAATACCCCAGACTTCACATCCAAGCTCCATGAACGCACACATTCAAAAGAACAGGGTGTGGTAAAGGATGGCTTAGGCTGTAGTGTTGTTACCAGGGCTTTTAGATGCCAGACAGAACCGTGTTTCACCGGCACACTGGCGTTTGGAAGGCCTGGGGCACTTTGGGTCTTACACTGAGTACTAGATGTTCATTGAGGCAGTGAAGCCAGGTGATAAACCCCGCTGTAGGCAGACTCTGGGCACCTTGAGATGCACAGCACCCTGTGAGATGCTAGTGGGTAGCCCTGAGCAAGGCCCGTGGCACTAGGCTTGTCGTGCTGGGGAAGGCAGGGTGGGTTTGCACTCCATCTGTGGTCCCCACACATTACCGTGAGGAAGTGAACACGGTCATCTTGGTCAAGACTGAGCCTCCTGAGTACTTTCATCTCAGCGTGATTGTGTGGTAAGACATGACAAGGAGATAAAATTTCATAGGCTAGCCACTGGAATAAAGGGTAGGTGTTGTGTCCACTGCGATCACCCTTCTGGAATGTTCAAGCGGAACCAGAATCGTTACTGATAGCACAGCAGCCATCAGATGCAAAACAAAACAAAACAAAACAAAACAAAACAAAACAAACAAAAACAAAACCTTGATCCCAAAGGTGAGGCTGTTACCCACAGGAGTAGAGCTACTTTCTGTCTGAGCCGTTAGATCCCACTCCAGATTCTGGCCACCCATTCACATTGTTTCCACTCTTGAAATGAATATTGAGAGACAGCTGTGACCATGTTCAGCTCTGGAAGTAAAATCCTAGAGGTGCAGTCTCCTGCCATAAACTTCAGTGCGGTCTTTACCTGTTCTTTCTGTATCTGTCTTTCTCTTCTGGATTTAAGTAAGATCAGACCAGGTAGTCTATCCACATTTGTTTCATTATTTAAATAGTTGTTGTATTTTAGAAACTGGGGACATAGAATATTCTAGAGAAACACCAACCCCAGAAGTTCATGCATAAAGCCTGTTGTGATTGGAGTGAATGGTACAGTCATGCAAGAGGCAGCCGCTGAGGGCATGTTTAAAATGCTGATCACAGCGGTCTAGGGTGGGGTGACAGAGAACTCTGAGTGGCCAGGCGCTGTCCCCATTGAGAATTCTGGAGTATCTAGCACAAACACGGAGCATCTGGGAGAAGTCACAGGTTTAGGGTACCTTGCATTTCACGACGCACGCCATTGTGAGGAGATGGGTGTGAGAAAACCAGAGCCCCTTTATCCCCCACAAGTCAAGTCCCTCAGAATGTAGAGTCACGTTATTTTAAGGTCACAGACATCTGGGCCTGGCCTGCACCATGACCATTGTGAGTGGTGAATTGAATCCTGGGAGTCAAGCCTGCCATTCAAGCACATGTTGTTTTATAGAAGTTTGCTGTGCCACCTTGTGGCAGGTGTCTGCTTGGGTTAGATAATGGGGTTAGTGGCCTGATGGATCAAGACTTACATGACAGAGCAGTGATTCCCACAATTCCCTTGTTCCCTTGGGGGCTCTGCTATGTACACTGTTGACCCAGTAGAGAAGAATCTATCTGGGGGAATAGAAGAACCGTGCCGTCTGCCTCTGTGAGGTGTGGCCTCTTACCACCCTCTCCCTCAGCATGGCCTCCAGCGTCTCCATCCTACAGTTCCTTCGGCTGCACTTTGTTTCCAGAAGGGGGGTTGCCCTCCCTGCCCTTAGAGAAAGGTGGAAAGGGCGAGTGGACAAGGGTGCATCTTCATCTGTAGTACCCCAAGGTTTGCATGCTCTCGTGGCTGGAGAGTATGGGTTTTAAGCCACGTGTGTCCTATATTGGATGTGGAAACTCAAGCTTACATAGCAAGAAGACAAACTTGGACTTGAGTAGTGTCACTTGGTACTGCCCCACCGTCATAACAGCCCCCCTCTTCATTGAGCTTCAGCTACTGTTTGCCTCAGAGACTTAAAATCGGGTCTGTAGACTGTCGGTATCCCCCCACACACACGCTCAGGAGGACGGTGTGGAGAGTGTCCCTGGATGCTAATCTGAGAGCCCAGCCTCTCCCTCCACACCTCCGAGCCAACTGTATAGATTCCCACCACGGCTGCCAGTAGCCTGGTGGTTATGAGAGGACCTAGAAGATGGAGAAGATGAAAGGTAGGCATCTCTCCAGCTATGTGGGCATTGTCATCCAAGTTCACCTTAGGAATACAATTCTAATATATAGGTACTGTCAACGATTTTACAAAAACTGAAAGCTTCTGTGGTTTTGTTTCTCTTTACATTGGACCTCAGGTCCTTGGAATGGGATAAGTCATGATTCTACTTAAGACAGACAGCTAGCCTTGATGTCTGCGTTTGTTGGTTTTAAATGTGTGTTCACATGTGAGCCCACCGCTGAGTTTGCCAACTATAGTTTAAACCTAATTTACATGCATTTCAAGTCCTGTCCTTTGCTGCCCTCCTTCCTGACTATTCTGCTAATTTTCATAATAGTTTTTAATTTTAAAAAATGTTGTGCATGTATTTCAATAACAGTGTTTCTCTCGATTTTGAATGTTCTTTTAACATAATAATACTGTTTGTTATCATCTAGTACTTACCTTTGCACTCATAATTGGTTCCTGAGATTAGCCGGTGGAGCTGTTGCTGTAGGCATGTAATTGTTACTGTGGAAAAGTGAGCTCAGGGGTTAAGAGCTCTTCCTGCTCTTGGAGAGGACCAACACTGGATTTCCAGCACTGATGTTGGGCAGCTCACAACTGCCTAGAATCCCAGCCCCAGGGGACCCTACACTGCTGACTTCCATGGGAATCTGCAGTCACATGCAGTCACCCACGTACATACCCATAACTGAAAAGAACATAAATACATCTTTTCCCAAAGCAGAGGAGGTGTTTTATTCTGTTGTCGTTTTAATAACTGGAGACCGACAAATTAAGTTGATCAAAGACAGATTGACAGGTAAAAGGATCCTCTGTGTCTGCACTTGAAGGCCTTTATAAGAAAGCAATGGAGGTGGAGAAAAGGGCCTGCATACCATTTTTACCAAGAGTAATTGACTTGTAATGTAAAAGAAACGGATTTCAGACTTCTAGAGGCAGTACAGACTGGGAAAGTAAATACACACAGGAGAACGTTAGTGTCAGCTAACAGCTATTTAATACAACCTATTTATACAGCTCCATCTCTGTACTGACATCCCGTCTCCCATAATAATGTGTCTTCTTCCTGCTTCGGAAGGCTTTCACACCTAGTCAGGGGTGAAATCCTGCAGAGAGTGAAACTCACACCCTGGCTGTAGACAGCTCAGAAGAGAGAGCGTTACTTCACTTTACATCTGTCTTTCATCTGCCTTGAGCTTTAAATAATCTGCACCTCACAATGCAACGAGTGGGTAGCGTGCTATGACGCCTTTGCTTGCGTAGGTGCAGTGTGGATAGTGCCCCCAGCCCCACCAGCCGTGCACAGGAAGCCTCGATACTAACATCGTCTTTCCGAGTTGCTCTTGTCAGACTTAATGCTCTCCCCATCAGGTGTAAATAGCACCGTGTGCATTTTCCTTGAAGTACTTCTAAAACGTTTATTGCCTCAGGAATAGATTATCGATAGCATTGAAATGATAAGATGATTCATAAAAGTCTACTGGCTACTGAAGCCTTCCTGACACAATGTTTCTTTCTTTAAATTCTAGATTCCTGTTCACCCTGTGCCCGACCCCTTAGTTCATGAGGTTCTAAACCTAGCTTTTAAGCACTTTAAACACAAGGAAGGGTAAGTGTAACTCACTTTGGTTGTTGCTTTCCTACAGTCCAGATTCAGGCTATTTAAGTGGTCGGTGTGTTGACTAGACTGGTCTTGGGCCCTTGATCCTTTTGCCTTGGACGCCCCAAGGCTGGAATGGCGAGCTTGGGTTACCAGCCCTGACTCCCAAGTTTGAATCTTAGAATGAGTTCAAAGCAATTGTCTCCCAGTTGTTTTTAGTCTTTCCTGAATATGGGAAAAATTCTGTAAAAAAAAAAAAAAATTGATGGCACTGTTGGGTTCATAAGAATAAAAAAGTTAGGTGCTGATGAGATGGCTCAGTGGTTAAGAGCACTGACTGCTCTTCCAGAGGTCATGAGTTCAATTCCCAGCAACCACATGGTGGCTCACAACCATCCGTAATGACCAACCTTTGCGCTGGAGAGCAGGCCCGACCTGGGCAAGAGGGAGAAGGGAAGGGGGAAAAAAAAGAATGAGGAAGTTAAATTTCATGGCCAGTTAAAATGTATATAGAAGGAAATTCATGGAGTTTTTAATCCTACAAGTAAGTGGTCAACCAAGATGTTATAAAATTCTGATAAGGAATTTTATTGTTGATTTCTTTCTTTTTCTTCCTCTTTCTGGTTTTGTTTAGTTTAGTTCTGTTTTACTTTGCTTTGGAGACAGGTTTTCACTCTGTAGCCCAGGATGGCCTGAACCTCAACCATATGTTGTTCATGTTAGTCTCACACTGCTTGATATCCTCCTGCCTCAGCTTCCCAGGGCCTGGGGTTACTTTGGGTGTGAGCCACCACACCAGGCTTTCTGATAAGGAATTTGAATTGTATCAAGAGAAAGCACGGTACTAAAACACCTTGTCCATCCGTTCTGTTGTTTCAGATATTCAGGGACCAACACGGGGAATGTGCACATCATTGCGGACTTATACGCCGAGGTGATTGGTGTCCTTGCCCAGTCAAAGTAAGCAGCAGAAACTCGCCTGTGCTTTCAAGTCATTTGTTCTTGATGGAGCTGTGCTGATGATGTCACAGCTGTCCTTTTGGTCCCCAAGTTGTCAATGAAGCTTGTGGCAGCCTTGCTTATGCAATGTCCATTCCTGAACTATGCAGCCTGCATTTACCCATTTCCAGCCTTTGTGTACATCTGAATCAAGTCAGGAATTGTCCAGAAGAGTCCCGATGTTACTTCAACCCCAGTTTAAGAATTCTATGACAAGTGGGTTTTTTTTTTTAAGAAGAAAGAAAGAAAAAGAAAGAAAGGAAGGAAGGAAGGAAGGAAGAAAGAAAGAAAGAAAGAAAGAAAGAAAGAAAGAAAGAAAGAAAGAAAGGAAACTTCATTTAGAGCTTTGAGCGAAGCTAATTAATTTTATTGCTTTCTAGTTGAGTGCTTTTATTTCTTAGGCCACACTGGAGTGAATTCTAATCATCTTGTTTTCAGTAGCTAACAAGGATGCCAAGGAAGGAAGGATAAAATACGCTGGATTACTCCAGTGCAAGCGCTTGCTTTGAGGGGGTACATTCACAGAGTAGTACTGAACTATCTACTGTGGACTATAACTTTAGGGTCTGTGCATGTTCCCCAAACTGAAAGCGTTTGTGTTTGCTCTTGTTGCTCCTGGGAAATGTGGTAGGAGAACAGTATCAGTTTGTGTGTTTAACTGGACGGGGTTTTAAGAGTCTTTGGTCCTGAATCACCACATAGCAACCACTGTAAATTCTTAGAAGCCAAGCTTAATTGTCATCAGTGTAAAGCAGTTTGTAATATTCAGTAATATTTATTATTTAGTACATTTTGATTTTTATTTTTACCAGAGAACCTTTGTATAGGGTCTCACTATAAGACTTAGAATGTAGTTTCAAGCATTTTAAGTGGTCATCCCCCCCCCCCCGACCTCCCAAATAGCACCTTAATGTCATGTTCCACTTAGCCCACAATGACCCCGAAGCTCGGGTGAAAGGACACAAAGTCATAGGTGTAAGGAATGATTGAATTGTCTTTACATCATAATTCCTGGGGTTTATAAAAAACAAAAATGTGCCTCGATTTTAGAAACATCAACCAGAAATTCTAAATAATACAATAGCAGGCTAGATGCAGGAAAACAAACGCTAAGTTACTGGCCAAGGTAACTCTGCGTGGCAGGGATGGTAGAGTCTAAGTGGCTGGGGAGTTTACTACGGTAGCAGCCTCACTCAAATGAGAGAGAGCTACAGCACTGTGGAGCAGCACTGCAGTGTCTCCACTCACGCACAGAAGGAGAAGTGTGGAGGGATTCACACCACAGGAGACTCACACTCAGGGCGCACTCCCACTGAGGGGGAAGGGAGGCCAGGCCGACAAAGGCTGAATCTTGTGTAGAATAGTTCTTTGATTGTAGTGATTTAAATTCACTCTCTGATCAATCATTCCTATGGATTTTTTCGGCCATTGGTTTTTGTTTAGTTTTGTTTTTGAGACAGGGTCTCACTGTTGTACCCTAGGTTGACCCAGAACTTGCTGCACAGCCAAGATTGGTCTCAGACTCTCAGCAATGCTCCTGTCCCAGCCTCTAATGTATTTTCAATACAACCAAAGAAATACCAGTCACACAGGTTGTTGATTTGAACTCAGGATTTTGCTCATATTTCACAAACCTTCTGATCCTAGTGACACAGGGAGAGCAGAGCCTTTCTTCTGTGCCTCTGCACATGAGACACTAATTTTCAGTTATAATCAATACCCTACAATAGATTGGTCTCTTTGAATTAATTTGTAGTCCCTGATCTATTCCACAATGTAACTGTCATAGGAAATTTAGAAAGGGGCTTTACATTTTGGAGACAATTTTAATCATATGATGATTTGTGAGAACGATATTTAGTGTAATTTTATTGTTAGTAATAAACAGCGATGACATAAGAAAATATCCTCTCTGATTTCTTCTTTCGAAGCCACTGGCTTTAAATCAAACCTAGAGTACGTTAGCATAATCACATTCAACTGAGAGCGTTTCGATTTGAGGCGTATGAGTCCTTCTGGATATATAGCCTTTGATCTTGCCTTAAAGATCACTTGGGAAGTTAGTGGTTTTTTTTGATTCACGTCCGTGATGTCTCTGCATACATTAAAGGTTCCAGGCTGTAAGGAAGAAGTTCGTGACCGAGCTGAAAGAGCTGCGGCAGAAGGAGCAGAGCCCACACGTGGTCCAGAGCGTCATCAGCTTGATCATGGGGATGAAGTTCTTCCGAGTGAAGATGTATCCCGTGGAAGATTTTGAAGCGTCCTTTCAGTTCATGCAGGTGACAGTTATCCTCAGGGCTGGCAGTTACAGTTAGCCCAAAACTATCTGTTCTTGTTCCTTTTAAGGTCATCATTACTGATTGATTGGTTGATTGGTTGATTGATTGATTGATTTTTAAATTTCACATGTGATGACTATCCTTGCTGTAGAGTGACTCTGTTGTAACTTAAGGCCCTCTTGCCCTTAGCTTTGTGATAAAATAAGCAAGTGTTCTTGAAAATGTGATTATTACGAATTCTTCAACCTCTTGTCATCCCTTTTTCCCTTCAAGGAATGCGCTCAGTATTTCTTAGAAGTAAAAGATAAGGATATAAAACATGCACTTGCTGGTTTATTTGTGGAGATTCTTATCCCCGTAGCCGCTGTAAGTATACGCCTATATCTTCACACCGTGCATCATAGAAAAATCGTACTTCCCTTTCTTCCCTGAAAACTCTTGCAAGGCCCTGAGCCCGTCCCGGCCTCACTCATCACCTGTGCCCCCCATTCCTCAGAGGTCAGTTTGCTATGTTGGCAGGCGTAGTTGGCTTTGTGCATAGATTTCATAGATTTTGATTATTTTTCAGTTATTGTAGATGATAGGGCAAATCTAGCCCCCCTTTTGTCTTGGGCAGATATGAAAGTTAATTGTATTTTATTCAAATTTCACTCTACTTAAAATTTTAGTGAGCGGTCTTATCTTCATGTGGTTTTCACTTTCACTCGTGGTCTGGTAGCCTGTGCATTTGTATGAATTACCTGACGTGCTCATGTGCTGCTTTGGAAACACGCTTAGGAGAGGTTGGGTGGCCAGAAGATTGCTTGCTTGTTTAGTTGGTTTGGTTTTTCGAGACAGGGTTTCCTCTGTGTAGCTCTGGCTGTCCTGGAACTCACTCTGTAGACCAGGCTAGCCTCAAACTCATAGAGATCCACCTGCCTCTGCCTCCCGAGTGCTGGGATTAAAGGCGTGCATCACCATTGCCCGGCTAAGATTGGTTTTTAAAAAGAAGTTAAGATGTTGGGAAATTAATGACAGTGGTTGGCACACCTTTGAAACCTGTCTTTCCTTTTAGCTTACCCCACTAAATTAGGAAAGATTTTTTTTAATAGGTACAAGTAAAAGCTGTGAATTAAAGGTTTGCCAGTGACACAGTCGTCTCTCAGCCTTGTATTTAGTCCCATAAAGTAGATTCAGTTTATTAACAAACAGACAAGGCTGTCTTTATTTTTTAAAAAAAAAAGTCAGTCATCTGTTGTCTGCAATGACTTTTCTCTCAAGGCCATTCACCCTTGAGGATGTTGGGTAAGCCTCTACCTAGGAATTTTGTAGGGACATGCTTCAACCCATAACTCCGGCCATCTATGAAAGTGCTGCTGTTATCCTGGGACAGCTTGTATCTCAAATGACCTCCTTCCCCTCCTTGCCTGGCTGGTCTGTCTTCATTCCTTCACTGTATACTGTCTTCTATGTATCAGAGACTCATCTGTGCATAGAAAATAGACACCAGCAAGCTAGGAAGCATTCTGTATGACTCTCAGGCTTATTTCTGGCATGCAAACAGAGAATACACTTGGCTGCAGCATACGCAGGGTGTCATGTCACAGCAGGCACTGCGAAGAAGTTGCGTGGGTACACAGAAGGAAGGATTGGCTGAGGGCAGGGGAGTTGAACTCTTAAATAGAGTATGATTATGTAAGTCCCATCTTGAGAGAGATGGTTGACAACTGCGCAAACACTAAGGGAGAAAGACATGCTCCATCTGGGAAAGGAGCATCTCCAACATCCAGTATAGGTGCCCTGAGACTGTTGTAGAGGCGGCAGGGAAGATGCTGTAGCTTGTCCCATCTCCCAGGGCAGAGCTGTAGGAGCCAAGGCTGGAAGGGTTAAGTAGGAGGTTTGCTCAATAAATGATCTGGGTTCGACTTAGAGCTCACTTCCTCATAAGCGTCCATCCAAAGGCCCCTCTGGAGCACAGACTGCTTGTCCTGCAGCACCCGCTCTGTGTTCTCACCTCCCATCTGCTTGTTCCTGCAGGCCAGGGACCGGGTTTACTTTATAACATTTGGTACATAAGACTTGTATGTAAATCTCAATGAATCATTAACTTACTTCAGACTTGGCAGAGAGAGAGATTTCCTAATGTTCATATGGTTTATGGGCAGTGACCATTTTTATCTCTGTTTGTCTTAACTCTTTCCCTAGGCTGTTAAAAATGAAGTCAATGTCCCCTGTTTGAAAAATTTTGTGGAGATGCTGTATCAGACTACATTTGAACTAAGTTCCAGAAAGAAGCATTCACTGGTACCGAGAAGTGTTTCAAACCTTCATGTGCCCCCCGTTGGCTCTTGGGTGTTCTGGTCATTGATTTATGACCCCTGTAGACATTGAAGAAGTGTAAACTGTGAACTTGTAAAATGCCCAGGACAGGGCAGACTTTGCACGTGTACTTTCTCCTGTTTGATTTTAGATTTTCTACTTTTTATTATTGAGAGAGAGAGAGAGAGAGAGAGAGAGAGAGAGAGAGAGAGAGAGAGAGAGA